TGATATTTAGTTATGGGGATGAAAAGTAAAAGGCTTTTATGCTGAATATATATAATAATTGATAGTAGCAGTACAAACTCCAGTATCTGTATTCTCCTAATTTCTCCTTTGCATACAGGATCTGGGAATAAGCTGTTAGCTTTTCCTAAATACTTTAAATAGCTTCAGTATGATTGTATCACTTGTATTCAGCTTATGCATGTTTAATGCACCTCTTTTTTCAGAGTGCTGAAGGAATTATTGCCATTCACCAGATTAAATAAGTTCAAGACTTGCTGCTGTTTCCTTGGTATGTAACACAGTAATAAGGCACCAGTGTAAATTTTAGGGATTTCTTTGTTATTGCTGTGAATTCTCAAAGTTCCATTGAAATTTGTTTGAGTGCTGGTATTCTCGTCTGTTAAAAAGCAGATTGCTGGTTGGGCATGAGTAATTCCAAGCTGGTTGATTTCTTTCATTACTATTATTGTTGACCTACATCATAAGGTTTGTGAAAATATTTTATGACCAGTATTTTTATCTAAATTGTCTTCAAACCTGAATTAGTGTTTTGATACTCTTAAGTATCACCCTCAGAGACAATTAATATATATCTAGGTTACTGTTCTGTAATGTACAACTTTGGGTGATGTTAATTGTCTGTGTGTATTCTCATATAGATACTGTGCACTGCTTTTCCTTAGGTTGTTTAGAAAGAGCTGTGTTTTAAGTATTCATAAAAGCAACTGTTGATAGATATTGTTTCAGACAACTTTACACATTTAAGTAAATCTAGTATGCCCTTGAAATTAACATCTTTGTATCATGTTAGCCTCCAGTTATTTAAAAGATTCAGAAGATAGTTTAGGTTGTGCAGTGGTCAAAGTATTATATAACAAAGTGGAGGAAATATCTACTTATGAAAGCTTGTTCTGATCACACAGATAAAACAAAGCATTTTAATAGGTATTTTATGTGGTGATTAGTATTATAATATATGTATATAAAGGGAAAAAAAAACATGTGATTGTGCTGTTGTTGCAAATTTAGAAAAAGAAAAAAAATTTGCCCATTTAGTGTTTATCCATGATATGTTTATGGCGTAGGAGATTTGGCATGAATTCTGTATCAAGCCAACCATATTTTGAGATCCTGAGCAACAATAATCTCACCATTTTGATAAGGATGATAGACAAAACAAAAGAAATCTAGTTCTAGTAAAGATGACCATGTAGCTTACAAACAGTTGCAATCTTCCATTTCATTGAGTAACATTAGTGGTATTAAAAACTGAAGATACTAGTCATAGCAGTTTAGATCTTTACAATTTTGCGTGTACATTGACTATCAACTTGTCTTTTAGATAACATGTGTTATTATTGATTATGTAGATTTTGTGATGTATAACATATATGTGCCAAACTGGATGTTATGTTGTACGTAAGACATGATTTTGCAACTGAGTAGATGGTACATCTGGGTTAGTAATTCAATTATGACAAACATACACATCCTCTTTTTTGTTACTAGTAACATTTTTCTCTCCAGCATAGCTGATGTGGGCCTATGTGTTTCATATTACTTAGGCTTTTTATCTGCATCCATCACTTGTTTTGGTTTAGTACATAGTACTCTAGGAACACAAGCACATTCATAGTGGCCAATAAAAATTGAGCATAAACTGTATACTTTCAGCTTCTCGTCAGTCTTTTTTTTTTTTTTTTCTTCAAATTAATACTGCTTTTCATTTTTTCTTAAATGGCATTTTTTTTTATGCAACAAATGAAGTTGTCACATGCCATTCTTTCGTTTTAAGATCAGCTAATAATGAAGATTATATTTACATAAAAGATGCCAACATTACCATAGCTTGCTCGAGAAATTTTCATTGACATTCTTTTTTTTCAAGTCAATGTAGTTTATGTAAAGTTAATCTAGTTTAAAAATCTGTTCATCTACTTAATATCTTTTATTTTCGTAAGTGAAACTACTTTTTTTTTTTTTCAAACATATATGAAATATGTTATTTTAAGGCTTTTGTAAAGGTAACACGAATATGGATTCTAACATGTACTGTATTGTGTATATTTCTCCCTAAATGTTTGTTTCATCCATATTACAAGTGTGCCCAGATCATTATCTTGTCTGAACTGATTCTTGTATGGTAACATCTTTTGGGCTAAAATAAATTGCTCAAGTACATGGTTGCTTCTTTTTCCAAATTTTTTTGCTAGCTGGTGGCTGCAACACAATACAGAAAAGTTGACAAATTTTGTTTAACCCCTTCACATCGGGTTACGCCGATTAGTGTGAAAACAAACCGCTCGAAAAGTGGTGTGCAGCGAGCCAAAGCGCGGCAAGCCGGTAATTTGGCCTGATGTACCAAACTCCCATGCTCAAAGTTGGTGCGCTGCCATGGTTTGCCAGAGCATAGAGTTTTTTGTTTTGTTTTCTTCACCCATCACCAATGGGTTAAAAATAAGCAAATGGCAACAAAACATTTCTGAGCGTGTAAAAAAATTTGCTATGTTATGGGTATGCTCAATTTAGTGCACTAATTGAAATATTAAGAGATTACTATTTGTGCCTCAACTGTAGGCAAGTTCTTGGCTTACTCCCAAGTATGTTAAAGATGTTAAGCTCTCATAATATAAGTAACACATTATTATGAGAATTGTGATGGCAATATTCAAATGTCTTTTATTTAATACCAGATAATGACAGCACAAATGATAGGGTCTCTCATTGTTAGCAGAGAAACCTATTCAGCTGAAAGAAAAATTATTAGATCTCAGTAATTAAATTATAATTTATTGACCCTACCATTATTTTATCATTAACTAGATTTAACCCATTGCCGCCGGGGATGGCATGTACGTACATGCCATGCCCACTGTGAGTCAACTTGTTCGATTGTTTTTACACATAGATGGCTACACTTGTACTAATCATCCAATGAGCCAATTACAGTACTGCCTGTCTCGCCCGTTCACCCTTTCCATCGATTTATGAAAATATTTAACGTTATCCTAATTTGCTGTTAAAAATAACACCATCTATATTAATGAGACTAGTAAAAATACGTTTTTTTCCCGCAAATTCAAGGAAAGGTGAAATCAGGACTAGCAGAGCCATCTATGGCCAGAGATATTTCACAAAAATATAAAAAATGGTTACTGCATTTCCCCCATTTTTTGTTCATTTTCCCTGGCGGCAATGGGTTAAAATTTAAAATGTTACATTAGTTCAGCTTAACCCACACTAGACATTGATTTGCATTACCTACATAAATAATCAATTCTTAAGGATAAGTTAAGGAGGAGGTAAGGACAACAAAAGAAAATGCAAACATTGATTTTACTTACCCTGACAATATCACAATATAGCAACAAACCTGTAATTAATGTGTAAAACCTAAAATGGCTCTCGATTCTTAACCCCCCTCCCCCCCAATCCCCTGCTCATTGTCGTTGTGAGGGGCTTAGGAGACGGAGACTGAGGCCCAATGTAGGGGATCACCCCTGCCTTGGACCTCAGCCCTTACCTTAACAAATTTTGCATGGTCTTCTTTTCTCCCCGTTTCCTTTTCCTTCTCTTCTTCTGTCCACTTCTCCTAATCATTAATTTGTTTTTACCCTTTTTGCCGCAATACTTTATCATAATGCTCTACATGCTTGCTAATGACCTTAGAAGTTGAGGCAGAAAATTTCCATTAAATAATAAATTAATCCTTAGGCTCCCCAAGTTCATGTGTATGTTGAAACCTTCATGGGCAATATATACATCATTTATTGAACATTTTCTGCTGCATAAACATACATGATCATTAGTGGTGTATTTTAAAAATAGCAACTGAGTGGGGCTTGGGGGTCCAGAATCAATGCCAGACATCCAAGGTCATACAGCTTTTGAATTAACAATTAGGATAAGTGGACAGAAGGGCATGAAGAAGAGATTGAAAAGGAAAGGAGGAGAAATGACCAGAATTGGTTGAGGTGAGGGCTTGTGGACCAAGGTAGGAGTGATCCCCTACGTTGGGCCTCATTCCGTCTCCTAAGCCCCCCACGACACCACCATCAAGGGACTCGTATACACAGCACCTTAGTCTTGGTACCGATGTGCCAGATTTCTTGCTAAACCTTTGTGCAAATAGCTATGCAGTTTCTATTGCCCATTAACTCACTAATGACAGGATGTCCCTCATCACAATGAAGTAGACTATCCCTTGTGCCAGAATGACATGAGTGGTCAACCCTGCTCCTGCTTGTATGTCCTTGGTTGCCTTTGTTGAAAATTATCGCAACAGTAGACTTAAAACATCTTTTAAGACTTGTCTACAAAATTGTTTAAGCTGTAGTGAAGAGCTTAGAGATTACCCCAATCTTAGGTTTTCTGCTATTCTAAGATTTCCCTTAAGCAGCTGACTGTGTAAACCCCAATACCTGGTTTAGTATGGCACTGGGGGCTCCTGTTGTGAATACTGGCAGAGAGCTGTTACTCTTTTCTTAAAAATGTTTACATGTACATTATGCCATAAGCTGTGGTACTCACATGATTTTTCCGTTTGATTGAAGTTTCCACTGCCTGCTCACCAATGTGCTGGATGTATTAGTTCCTGCTCTTTCAGAACTAGTCCCAATCAAAGAGTGACATGATTATCCCATTACTGCTGGGCCACATGTATACCTGTCATAAACAGCTTGATCTGCAGGGTGCAGCTATACGCATGGTGACACACTAGAGAGCGTCGAGCTGGTAGTTCTGCTACATGTAACAGACTCCTACCCCCAACGGCAGGATGGTTACCAGAAATCCGAATTATGACACCAAGAGATTTCCAATACCATCACTAATGAATTGTAAAAGAGGAAGAAGAAGAAGTAGAAGTTCAACCTTCTGAAGAATTGGTATTCAAGACACCTAATATTACATTCTATTGTATCCAAACCAAAACAATTCCAGAAGGAGCTGCAAGAAAATTAGTTTGAACAAAATATTTCAAGGCAACTAAAACTAGGAAATAATATTTTACTGTTTTTATTTGACTTTAAGAAAGCTTGAGTACATCTCTAGTTCATAAATGTTCTAAATGCCAGAGTGAATATAATAGTAGTAGACTTTCAATTTGCCATCCCTATCAATGTGAGATCTCTCCTTAAATCTCTAGAAATGAGAGAAATAAAAAATAGCTTGCAATCTTGTATAAAAAGACAGTACATTTTATCTACACAATATTTGGCGCAGAGACCCCCCCGTATATTTCCCCAATATTAGGTACACTTTCTTTCCATGGGAAATGTTGAGGACCACTTCCTGACCTCCCGGAAGAGCTAATCAAGCTCTCGCAGGGCCCGGAAGATGACATTGCTCTTCCTTGGTGGAAAGTTGATCCCTGGTACCTCTTGCCACTGCCAACAACTTCACCATAACATACTTCAGCTGAGGTACAGCATATTATAATACTAATAACTGCCACTATTTACTACCTTTCAAACCATTGAACATCATGGTATAGTTGGCAGCAGTAGCAGGAGGTTCCTGGCAACCTCATGTGTAGGTTACCGGTATCTCCACATGCTTTAAGTGTCACTTAGCTGATTAGGAAGCACATCCAGTGCCCCAGGATCAATTTAAGTTGGTACATTGATTTCTACTTTATACAATCTGAAAACTCCTACAGTCTTTGTTTGGCTAGAATCCCACACAAGCAGTTACATAAAATGCACAATCTGTACATTTATAAATCATTGTACCATGAGTAGTTAAAATTTTGCACAATTTATAGTTTAAATACCCTAGCTAACAATGCAGCTTCCCATACTTGGGAGCAGGAGCAGTGCTTATATTAAAACACCAAATTATTTGTGAACACAGTAAATATCTTCTTGACAGATCATTGTGCTACCAACTTTGTACCTGATCAAAGCTCCTGGACAATATATTAAATTCTAGCACCGTGATACAAGGAGCTGATGAGATATATTAACATGAGAAATGCCCAAACATTCAGATCTATGGGCAATCAGTTTTGTTCACTGGGAACCAGGAGCCAAATTCTTCCGTACACACACACACACACTCCTGCCTGTTTACAATGAGGAACAGCGCGCCATCACCGACTAGAGTTAGTCTGAGGTGAGCATAAGCATGACTGCTTATGTCAGCATCTATAATAACAAATATGGATCACTAAATAAAGACAACATTTGTACATGAACATACAAACTAACATATCTTTGGCAATACTCAGGCTATGACTGAGATTACAAGAAATATAACTATATAACCATTTTGTGGAGGATCATGATAAAAGTGGAATGTGGGCTGTACCTCTGACTGTTACCAGTACTTGCTGCAACCCTGCTAGTGCTTGCCAGGGAAGAGCTGGCAGCCCTCTGCCGGGGGCGCTCTCTGCCACAACCCAAACCTGGCCCCGCACCCTACTGCCCGCCTCATCACGGGCATCAAACAATATCACAGTAATAATGGCAGTGTTCGCCAAAGTGAGTCCAGGCACACACGGCCTTCCCATAATTTACATTAGTTTGACTTAATATCTAAGAAGGCTGCAATGTGCCACAGCGATTCTATATAAGATGCATCAAATGCATCGCTGCTGCTTATCAGCGATGCCTCCCTGCCCAGTTTGTTACATTACCAGACAGGAACACATTTGTCGAACACTGGGTAAGCCTATGCCCTGAGATTAGTCAGGTGATTTGTATGACTCAGGGATGGATCATTACTGCAACAATGCTAGCCACTGCCTTCAGGAGACCAGGCTTGAGTGATGCTGCGGCCACGTGTTGCGGCTCTGGCCGCTACTGTGTAGAGGATGCTGTATCCAGCACCCGAGTCCAACCGAACTAAAGTAAAAAACTGGTGGGTCTTCAAAATCCAGAAGGAGAGACAAAGACACATCTCCATGCAGAGCCTCTTTAGGAATCAATCCCTTAAGTCTTTAAAAACATAACTCATTTGGAATAAGTCCAAATGTAATCCAGACAAGTTATAAAGTTAAGTGTTCCTTCTGAGCAACAAGTAAGTAAATTTGAAATAACTGCAATCACAGCTGCTCCAGAGGCTCATTCAACACAACAATCAAAAGGGACGGCAAAATATCAAATCATCAATTAAACTTCCCAAAAGCCATGCTACAGAAGTCTACAATTATAATACCTTAATGAACGCAACAGAGTGCATGTTGCCGTTGCCTGGGCGGTTCAGTGATTTTTCCAATGTTTAATGATTTTGCTGAGGCTGTATTCACTACATCTCACCCAGCAACACAACTGCTACATTACATATTAGACACAAAAGTTAACAGCAGCCCAATCCTGGCAATGTGGGGCATCATAGGGATAAAACATTATTCACAAATGACCTCAGTTTCTGCATCATCTCTGTATCACATGTAACTTGAAAAAAAGGGTCTACAAAGTCCTCAGTGCTACACAGTGGAACATGGAAGTTTAAGCTCCATGCTAAAGGTTGAGATGGGGCTACATTTTACTATTTAGCCCCCCCTCTTGATTGCTAATAATCACACAAAAAAGCATTAGAAACATACATGTTCTCCTCTAAATAAAGTCAGTATTATTTGGTATGATGCAGACTTCCTGACAAAAAACATCAAGATATTTGCTCAGTCAAGTCTAAGGTCAAGTATTCAGAGAAAAGTTCCAAGCCTGTGACATACCGAAACTTCAAGCTTAAAAAGAGAACCCCGCATCATAAGTGGTTCACATTTCCTTTAAGACAGCAGGTTATGGGCATTAACAACACTTAAAAAGTTTGACTGCTGCTGAAACTTTCTATGCCACTTTGTGGTCACTTGTTACTGGGTACAAGTACGGGTTACAATATAAAGCAATACACAATTCTGGGAGTGTCTTTCAAATAATGATAATATCCAGTTTCAAGCATGTTCCATTCTTTAAGACTGACCTCTTACACATGTCAGTATAGGTAAACTGCTAATTAACAAACACTTCCTGCTGTGGCAGAAATACCTTATATACTAATGAGGGTTTACACTACCCTGTCTAAACTAAAGAAAAAGCAAACACTGCACTTCCACTAATGGTACAGTCCCAGGTGTAACAAGTGTTGCACAAGGTGGCAAGGTGCCACAGATCCTGCTGCCAGGGCTCAGTTACCCCCCCACCAGTCTGTCCCTGAAGCGCCAGAGGTGTTGTAGCTATTGTAGCCTTGGCTTCCACTGAAACCTCCGTACCCTCCATAGTGATTGAAGTGTGGAGCAGCTGTTGGAAGAGAAATGTAAAATAAAATTAGAGGCTGTTCTACACTATGTTATTTAAAAAGTATGTTACTATTACATCATAATAATTTACGTAATGGCACAATTTTGCAATAGGCTATGAAGTTAAAGGATTGGTTGTGTTCCTTTACTGGACTGGACAGTTTTTATGAGGAACAACTGTGTGAATATGCATTTACAAAGAGCACTATTTCTTAATTTCCTTTATGTCTTGGATCCAGGTGAGGTGCCCATCACACATCATGGGAAAATTTGGCTGAGGGCTACGGTACACCAATGACATGTCTTCATGAGAATTTCAGCTGAAGGCTGGAGTGATGGGAATGACTCACTATGAGTACACAAAGCTCTTGATTAGACTCAGTGGGCATACAGAAAAGGGTTCCTGCATTATTTCCATCAGTAAACAAATGTGAAATGTACATGCGTGCGCCATGACTGGAAGAGCACCAGCTCCAGGGAGGACACTATTTCCATGCTCAGGATCCTATTCCTGCCCCACCATGATTGATGGGACAGGTTGTATTACAGAAAACTGAATATTCCAAAAAAGAAAAAAATAGAAATAAATCCAAGTTATGGACTACTTAGAGAGATATGGGGTCTGTGCAAGAACAATTTATTACCATCTGGATAAAACATAACAATTGACAAATATAGGTAAATGGAGGGGGGAGGCGGGGAATAGAAAGATGTTAACATTGCAAAATGGAGGCAAGGAGTTTTGACACTGCACTTTCTGTGTGCCTGGCCAAAAAGCCACACACCTGCGAGTTGTCACTCCAAGCAAACCTACAGCTAGATTTTGAGCCAAGTGCAGGCAGCGAAGCACCCAGGTTCAATCTGTGAACTAATTCACCCAAACAGACTCACCTCCACCAAAGCTGTTGAAGCCTCCACCTGGACGAGCAGGCCCTGCCGTGTGGGGGCCCTTGTTGCGGTCGGCCTGACGGTAATCTCGGGATCCAAAACCTCCACCGAAGCGCTTGGCTCCTGCGCGGCCTCTTCCTCCTCCACCTCCAAAGCGTGCCTCAGAGGCAATAGCCTCTAGCCACTTGGGAAGCTCCTGCTTGGCCTCTTGTAAGAGTTCTACCAAGTCACGTACCATGTTGCGATTCTTGTCATTGAAGAAACTAGTGGCAAGGCCTGAAATGTAAAATATTGGAGATAATTAGGATGGGTACATCAGATTACAATATTGTCATTAATTCTTACCTAACTTCATAACAATTTTTAAAACAATAACAATGGTGAACTGTAAAGTAATTTGATAAATAGTTCCTTCATATATTCTCCAAATTAACTCTAATGTATGACAACTGAAAACATCAACCTTCTTAAGCATACTCATGCAAATTTTTCCTGGAAAACTACCAATATAGTTAACTCTTTGTACTTGGATTGGGTACACTTTGAAAGTATCAAGGAAACTGAACCTTCCTTCTAAAAAGAGAATGGCCAACTTACCAAGGTTACCCATACGACCAGTTCGACCGATACGGTGAACATATTCCTCAATGTCTGATGGCAGATCAAAGTTAATGACATGCTTAACATGTGGAATGTCCAAACCACGAGCAGCCACCTGTAGAGAAAATATGAACAAATGTAAAGAATATACTGACTTGTATGGATTTTCACAAAAAATAATTTTCAATCTAATAACTTGTTTTAATCCATATATACATTATCTAAAAAGAAATGATCTTCATTTATCGTCCTCAGCTTTTAACTTACAGC